AGCCGAGGTCGACCTATGATGCTTCTGAGGTCGACCTATGAAGGCAAAAGTTCGAGTTGTGCTGTTGTCTTTGAATTATTTGTGCGAAACTAACACTGGTCGACCTCTTCTATTTATGAGGTCGACCGGATCTGTTTTGCACTCAATTGCTACGAGCATTTGGGCCATATCTTTTCGTTTCAATTTAGCCGAGGTCGACCTATGATGCTTCTGAGGTTGACCTATGAAGGCAAAAGTTCGATTTATTTGTGCTAAACTTATTGAGGTCGACCTGTGATGATATTGAGGTCGACCTCGGGCCATTTAAATCGATTGAAAGCCAATTGTGACTTTCAGAAGGAGTGCAGTGCAGGACATTAGGCCACCTTGCAATTTAGCCGAAGTCACAATTGGCTTTCAATCGATTTAAATTTTCCGAGGTCGACCTATGTTTTTTCTGAGGTCGACCTATGATTTTCAATCGATTTAAATTTTGTACTTGAATTGTTACGGGTTTATGTCGACCCATTCTCGTTTTAAATTAACTGAGGTCGACCTATGATTCTTCTGAGGTCGACCCATTCTCGTTTTAAATTAACTGAGGTCGACCGCTTTATGGAGTGGTCGACCGCGTATTGTTCATTTCGAAAATGTGACTAACGTGTATTCTTGCTTGTTTAATCGCAGGATGTTTAATCGCAAGAAAAGAAAGTCACAAAAAGCTGATGCCTCAAGTTCGGAATGGGAAGAGTTCAATCCCAAACTGTTCCAGACCAAGGATCAAAGTGACAACTATGAAGAGGAAAGAATGCACAACCGCAGGGTGACTCCTGGAAGGCCATTAACGACGGATGCGTATTCTCATTTCGAGAATTATGGGTTTCTGGGACCCTTCATCGAGCAAGAGTGGCTGAAGGTGATATCACTCAATGTACCATACTACCCAAAACTGGTACAATACTTCTACAACAACATCGTCTACGAGAAAAATGCAAATGGATCCATTCACGCATTCAAATCCTATGTGAATGGGGTGGCGATGCGCATCAGCAAGAATGTGTTGGCGCAAGTACTTGAGGCTCCAAACGAGGGGAAGAGAATCAATTCTTATGGTGCTTGGAATGAAACGCATTTCACGAGAGGCAAGCAAATCCAGACGGTATGTGGTCTTGATGAAGAGGAAGATGCTCAGGGGCGCAATAGGACAACGAGTAACCACCTGACAGTTCAAGCCAGAGTTTTTCACCACATGCTTTCCTACAACATTCTGCCAAAGGGTGGACATCGGGAGATAGTCACCTACTTCGACATGGAGCTCCTCACCAACCTACTGTTAAACGAGAAGGTGAACTTGCCATACTTGATCTTTAACCACATGCTTACTGCTGCAGAGAGTTCAAACAGGAATCTTCCCTATGGGATGATCCTCACTGTGCTATTTGAGCATTTTAATGTAAATTTAAGTGAAGAGGTGGGGTTAAGAATCTCAAGGCAGGAGTTCTATACTGTTTCATCTCTGAAAAAAATGGGCTTTGAGCTGCGTAATGGTGAGTATGTCAGAGTAAACAATGCTCATGGTGGTGATGATGATGATGATGATGATGATGATGATGATGATGATGATGATGAGGGTGATGAAGGAGCTCGAGACGAGCCAATGGCGGAGGCACAGAGTTCAACTCCACCGATCACCTTACAGCGTGTGTGGGAGCGCATGGATGGCATGTACGAGTACATGGGCCAGATGTCCACCCAGATGACTGGCATGCATGACTACATGGGGCAAATGACCGCCCAGATGAGCACAATGCAGGTGACCGTGAATGAGATGCGAGATGAGTGGCGATCTTTCAGCGGAAGATACATGCATCCCACCACATCCGACCACCATCATGCTAGCACCACCAATGAAGAAAATGTGGATGAGAGAGAGGGGGAGATGAGTAGGAGAAAGGAGATTTTATATTGTGTGTTTTAGTGGTCAAAACGATTGTTGATTGTTATTCTGTTGTTTTTTTAGTTTTATTTTTATGTGTGAACAATTATGATTTCTGTTTTATTTTTAGTTGTTATGCTATGAATTGATGAGTCCTTGTTATAATTATTTATGACTAATTATGATGGTTTGAAACATAATTTATACGATTAAAAGAACCACACAAATCGACATACATAAGCAAAAAAGACACGGGGCATAGGGTGACTCTTGTATTCGGTTGACCTCGTACCGGATTCGGTCGACCGCGAAACCAACACTTGATCTTCATTTTACGTCAAATAATTGGACACTTTGATAGAACACTTATCTTCTATCTGGTCGACCTCTTTCCTTATCCGGTCGACCATTTTGTTAATGACTGCCATCAAGTGGTCGACCTATATACCTTAGGTGGTCGACCATGTTGTTTCTGACGCCAACGAAATGGCCGACCCAGGTTTTATTCTGGTCGACCAAAAATAACAACTTAAACTAAGTGCGGTCGACCAGGTGGTCGTTGAGGTCGACCGCAATGCTTTCTCGTGCTGCCCAAATTAGTCGATTCGGTCGACCGCCTTCAGCAATAGGTCGATCGAAAAGTGCATGTCACCGTGACATGCATGTCATAGTAGGCATACCCCTAAAGTTATTGTTGACGTTGTTTGTTATTATTGCAAGCTGTAAAAAAGACTTTTCAACTATTAAGTTAATCAAGAATGAATTTATAAATGAATTTTTATTTGTATACATTGAAAAAGGTTTGAGTCTCAAAATAAACAATGAATGTATTTTATAAACCTTTTAGAATGCGAGCCATCACACGTTGATGTGAGAAACTACTCATTAATTCAAATATTATATGTTAATTTTAGAATATTTTATTTTTATCAAATGACATATTTCTCCATAAAACATGAGTTCACCAATATAGACTGTGTGGTGCTCGCACTTGTGCGCGAGTCCTTGAAGTTTAAGTTTGGTACGACCCATGAAGCATTCATGCTTGTACATGGGCGATCCATATACATTGTCTTCATGGTTAGATCGACCATGTGCCTAGGTATAGTTATATGCATTGTAATAATTATGTTTCTACCTATTCAAAACACCAAGATAAAAACAGTCATAAATGCACCTAGTATTCGATTTTGACTACCTGATGAAATACTACATTTGAATGAACTATAACTGATGTCACAAATAATAAGTATATCTCCAAATCATACATAAAATATATCAAACATAAAAAATATTAAGATTAAATTAATTATTATTAAGAGTAAAAATTATATAATGAGGTTAATTATAACTCATTTATATGTTAATGCCCTATAAATTGATCAACGCATCTGATCCAAATCTGACGAAATGAATATCACATTAAACTCGGTATCGTCTCATTATTGTCGGGTCCATTCATACCAAATTAGCAAAAGTTTAACGTTTATCAGTTAACTAGGCTAAAATTTTAGAGAACCAGTCACCTATAGTTTGTACAAAATATTATTGTATTGTATTAAGTTCTAAAAATTCATATTAATTTAAAGAATTCTACATCGCTTTTGCATATTCAATAGTGCAGCTCGATATTCAATATTTCAAGCAACTATATTTGTGTTGCAATTTTGAGATTACCCGTCATTTTATAGGTTATAAAAACACGTATTAAACTTTGCTTTTCAGAAGATTTATAGGCTAGCTAACCGTGAAAAGTCCTCTGCTTTTCAAATCTTCGCTTAGTGCATTTATCAAGATTAAACAAATTTGTTTAGTGTAATTGGTTGTGATTATTATTTTTGTTTGAAGAGACCATGGTTCAAATCTTGATATTAATACTTTTTCATATGAAGTAGATGATAATTGTGATGACAAAAATACCCTTCCTACTTTCACTCTCGCTTTACGAAATTTGAAATAGAAAATCTTAAAACATTGAATATATCTTATAGAAAGAGCTTCTTCAACCTGAAATTATTATAACTTATAGAAAGTTATAATTGTGAAATTGGAACCCAAGTAACATTGATTCAAACATTAAATTAAATAAATTGTATGTGTAGTTCAGTTTAGACAAAATACATGTGTAGCCAAAACATTGATCTTTGTGACAAATATAATAATTTTTTGTCACAAATCTACACATAATATAAATATATATTGGGCACTATGACGAAATAGAGCTTCCTAGAATCACTCTCAGACCACAAAATTTGAAATGAGACTCTCATTTTCCAATTTTATCATTATATTATGTGTAGATTTATCACAAAAAAGATTATACTCGTCACAAAGGTCCATGTTTTTATTACACTTCTGTATTTTGTCTGAACTAAACAACACATACAATTTAATATTAATGTTTGAATCAATACTACTTGAATTTTGATTTCAGAACTAATATCTTTCTATAAAATATAAATAATTTAAGATAAAATATAAATATAGAAGCATCATCATCAAACATATTCCTAGAGTTCAATCAAAGAAATAGCAATAAATAAAATGTAACCTAGTTGGTTATAATGCTCTTTCTTCTTTCAAGTGACCAAGGTTTTTTGAACTCCAATGATAATATTTTTAATATATAAATATGAAATGGGTGCAAAGACAAAAATGACCTTTTTAGAATTACTCTCAGACCACGAAATTTGAAATGGGAGAATTCCAACCTATATTTTGACTTTACTTATGGTGTAGAAGAAAAACTGTTTACAACGACTAATATTGTAACAGATATTGTATTTGTCTCTAGATTTTAGTAAGTATAATTTTTAGCAATATTAAAAGGGTAAACTTAGAAGAGAAGGTCATATGCGTAGTTGAACTGTAATTTTGTGGTAATTGTGTAAAATAAAAAGGTTTGAGGAGCATATGCGTAACTTTTGACCGGGCTTAGCCCTGGCTTCGTAACGGGCCAGATATGACATCACCGGGCCTTGTACTGTTGTGGGTTTCAGCAGCTCAGGCCCTTCAGCTAATTAACTAGCCCTGTGAGATCTCAGGCCCACTAAATCAACTAGTTAAGTACCGACTACCGAACGTTTGAGTTTTGTCAATTTCATTCTTTGCAGTGCAGTTACATTTTGTGTATTTCCTATTTCGTCACATCTGCAGACTGCAGGATATCTTTTGTGATTGGGAGAAAGTAATGGCTTCAATGGTTGTCTGTAGGAGAATTAGTAATTACCATGGCTTGCTAGATTTTCTCTCGTCCAATAATTACCATGAATTCCGTACTCCGCCGGCTGCGGCTGCTGCTGCTGCTGCCATTTTAACCCACCAGTGCCAGAGCCACGTAGCCGTACTCCTTCGGCAGGAATTCCGTCACTCCGCCGGCTGCTGCTGCTGCTGCCATTTTATCTCTGGTTTGCACTTTCTAGGGTTTGTGAATTTGGGAATTGAGAAGTGGGTTTGGAGGAGACAGAGTTGAGACCTGTATATACATACCCACTAGCATTAGCCAGGTAATTGACCATCTCTGTCTGTCTGACTTTCCTATGTAATTTCCTCTCCCAATTGTAAATTTATTGTCATTGACGAAAGCAGTGATGATAGGACGGCTTTTTCTTCAAGCCACGGACGGTTCCTGTAGATTTGCTTACCCTTTTCTTCTTTTTCAGTTCACTGTTTTACTACTGCCATCGACGGTTCCAAACAAGATTGCCAACCCAATTTCTGGTATGGGTTTTGAACATATGTTTCAACTGAGCAAGAAGAACACGAATGGGTAGTAAATGGATGTTGTTAAGTAGAGATAGTAATAGTACAGTCTGGACCTTGTATACCCCCCGTAAAAATGGGAAGGGGGAGCTTTTGCAAACTCTGTGACAAGCTCAAATCCTTTTTGTTTTATGTGTGGAAGTGCTAGACTGTGGAAGGGTTGACAAGTACTAGCTGATGAGTTCTCTTACAATGGGAAGTTTCCAGTAAGACGAATGTGATCCAAGGTCCTACGGAGACCGTACTTGTTGACAGCAGCATTAGCAGCCCTGAATCCTCCACCATATGCTGGAGAAGCGTCGTGAGCGATTTGATGCATGAAGAACTCCCCCAGTTTGTGTTCCACCTCGGATCTCCCGCCTTTCTTTGAATTGGAATAGGAGGAGGAGGAAGAAGAAGCTGTTGATGATGATGTTGATGCCATATTGCTGCTTTTGGATCCTGGTAATACTTCGGATTCAAGCCACATATAGGAGAGAACCTGACAGATTCCTTCCTCTACCTCAGGGTTTAGGTTCCTGTACCCTGGAAGAAACAATAGAGGAAAACTGTCATCAAAGACTTGTTGCAGAAGAAACCTGGGGTCTGTGGCGTTGTTGGGGTTGTATATGAATGCTAGTTGTCTCTACTGTATGTGTACATGAAATCGCATCAGTGAATTGGAAAAAGAGTATCATACCTTTAAGACGTAACCATCCATGCATGAGTTCATGGGCCAGAATGGCTCCTGTTAGTAGCCTTGGGAGGCCATAGAGGACAAGAATTGCTGTGACTTCACATCTCCTGATCAACTTTTGAGGCTGTGTTCTCATCCCCCCAAACCGGTGCCCTCCGATCCTCGGTCTCCTTTGTACCTGTTGTTCAAAGATCAAACAGTTTCAGAAAATACCACAAACCAACTTCAGATTGATGGAAGTAGCAAGTTGTTCAGGAAGAATCGTACACTGGTGACAGTCTGTTCTTCAGAAAGACATAGCCCCCTTGTCTCAGGCATGTGATGGTACCCCTGGAAAACCCAATTATATTATTTATCAGCATCAATCAAAACGAATGGATTTTGAATGCTGTCGTAGTATGCATTACATTCTTCTCTCCGATGATGGCTTCATTGAGTGCTTGTCTTTCAACAAGCAGCATGGGAATCTGCTGCTCCAATCTCATGTTCATTCCTTCGTAGTAATCTCTGATCGCATGGTAAAGTGGTTGGCAATCGCCCGTGTCCATGATGGCTGACTCCATGCATTCCAAGCACAGGCTCCTTCCATCTTCTAGGGAGTAGTACCTTGCATTCCAAGACTACATAAAGGAAAAACAGAGAAACCAAAAGGATCAATGATTACAACAATTTTTTAGCAGAAGAATATGCAACTGCAACAGCCTAAGAGTCCAGTGAGCACCTCCAGTCGCTCACAACTGCAGCACCGAGCTGTACTATCATGCTCATGAGAAGGGCAGTACTTTTGTGACCAAAATGGGTGGCATCTGTACTCTATCAAGCCCGCTGAGTTGGTTGGAATCTGATACAACAATCAAACAGCAGAGGGTTTGAGCATCCCATTTGGCTCCATGCATTCCAGGAATTAATTGCTGACACAAAAGGTAGGAACTTGCTTACAAATTGCAGGCAGACTTCACATTTGGGATGAGTCAGTTCCTTGAAACATGACTTGTGATATGGATCTTTCCCTGACAAAGAAAACTTGGGATCAACAGAACAAAAGGTTGTTTCAGTAACAATCCAGGATACTTGCAAAGGAAGTAACTTCTGTTACAAACTTCTGCTATCATTTTCCTTTGTCCTACCTCTGTCTCAGTAATTGGGTAGCCACAAGAGCGGCACCTGAAGCATTCCGGATGGAAGAACATCCCCATGCAACCCAGATAGTTCCCATACCCGATTTCACGATGGCAGCCGCCACATAACCTAACCGAAGACCAAACCAGCAAAAGCTTAACTGATTTCTCTATGAAAATGGTTAGACTTGGTTCTTATCAACTCACCTATATCCCCTGGGGTAATAATGTGCAGGAGGGACTACATAAGGAGGATACGAAGACAAGTTGAGGCTATCTTGTAAAGCTCTTGCTAATGCTTCATCGTTGTTGTTGTTTGCTGTCGGCCGCCATCCATACCCTCCTACTTTTTGTACAGTAAAAGTTCAGACACAATCTCTTGAATGAAATGCAAAAAGATGGTGGTTATAGTATTACCATTCGGTGGTCTCCTCAAGCCTTCGCCCATGGAAAGTGCAATTGCACGGTCAAGCTCTTCTTTTTCCCTGTTAGCTCTCGGCCGGCCGACACCGACACCGCCTCCACGGCCGCCCTGTTCATGGTTAGAGCGATCATCAGCTTAATTGTTTGTTGCTCTTTTTTATCAGTTTCCCCCGCTTTGTTTATGTAATTAGGAATTCCGCTTTGGGAAAAGGAGGAACATATAAGTACAGGGGCTAAAAGACGGATGTCAACTTTTCACATCACATGCTCGTAAACTTTTGATCACGCTAGATGGGAAGAAAAGAGAAGAGAAAAAAGGCGTTTCCATGTTCCTGGGCCAACGGAATATATTGGGATGCAATATTTAAGCTTTTGCACGCTACTAATACCTAACAGCAAAATGGCTTCTCATCCTTTCCGGTGCTGTTATCATGTGGATGGGTAGAGAAAGCAGCAGACTCTTTTTCACAGACAGATTTGTGATGGCAGTATAATTTTACAGATTTGGCATTGGTACTCACAATCAAGCTCTTAACAGAAATTGATTTGCAGAAAGATTATATCTTTAATGCTTGTTTAGTTGCTGAATGGAAGACGATGAACAATTAAAACAGAGAGGAGGCCGTTCTTTGTTACCAGTGATCTAGTTGATGGTTCCCGCCAGACCATGTTCTCGTCTCCTACAAGCTGCGGCTGACCTCCGCCGCCGCCGCCAACACCACGATGGGTGTTTGTTTTGAACAGTTTGCCTAGCCATTTCGTGAAGCGGGATTTTTTCTCCACAAAGTCCCCTGCTTTCCTTTGAAACAGGTCTCAATAAGCAAACCGAAAGCAGAGTCGCCAGAGATGTCTTTAAAAAGAAAATTCACACGAGGAATGGAAATTTGAAAATCTGGGTAGTGAAGAGAAGCGGATGATCGTACCATAAATGCAAGGATTAGAGATATGAGTTACACCTGAAGACGAGTAAGTAGAAGGCGGCGGCGGCGGAGCCATGGCAGAGCACGAAAACAGGGGGTGAAATTACAGAGCTTTTTTGCGGCGGCAGAGGAAACGAAAACGACAGGGAGAGAGAAGAAAAGAGTGGGAGAAGGGGAAGGAGGAACAACGCAACCAGCATGGGATAGCAATTAAAAAGATGATGGATGGCTGATCAAAGAGAGAGAAAGAAAGACGGGAAGGAGAAGAATCTGAGGCAGAGAAAGGGAAGTAAAACTAAAGCCGGGAAAAAGGGGAAATTAGATTCTTGGCTTGAGAAAGCTAGGAAGAGAAAGAAATGGAGATAGAGAGAGAGGGAATATTTGAAGTGACGGTGGTGGTGCGGTGGACGGCTGGTGGTGAGAGAGAAGGTAAAAAGCAGAGGAATCCCCCGGGGAGGAACAAAAAACAGAGCAGTGAAGAAACAGAGATGGATTTTCTTTTTTGTTTTCCCTTTCGCCACGCGGGAATTTGCTGGAACGGAGCTGGAGAATTCTTCTTTTTGGGTTCCTGCTTATGGATTGAAGATGATGGACAGATAGATCGATGATGTTATGTGTATATATTCCCTGTGTCGTGCAAACAAGAAGAAGATGGGGAAAACAGTTGCTGGAATACCGTTTGCCCTTCATGTCAATGGAATTATATTCGTCTTTTGTGATTGAATACATTATGCTCGAAGTCAATTTAGCAACGAAAAACGCCATTAACGAACGAGAGGGAGGGACGGAAGGAGAGAGTTTTAAAATAATCCCGCCAAGGCAGCTTGAAGAAGAAGGGAGAATCAGTTCAGTTGCAGAGGTGCGAGAAAAAGGAAAGGAAGTCAGGCGGCGGAAAAGGATTTATGAGTCACCAATATCCCTTCTATTCTCTCCCACGGATACATCATGTCTCAAACTTGTTCCATTCCAACTGCCGATCTACTTAGGTTTTCTTTCTTCTTCTTCTTTTCTACGCCGTTGGTTCTATTCCAAGAATTATGCTGATGTTCCTCTTCCTCACCATTGTTCCTTACAAATCCGAGCATCATATTTTCTCCAGAGATGGTACCAAATAATTGGCGAAGTTAGTCATATTGTAGTTGAGTCGGGTTAGGGGTGGGCAAACGGTTCGGTAAACCCGAATCGAACCGAAATCGAATTAAACCGAACCGAAACCGAATTAATGCTATTCGGTTCGGAATTCGGAAGGAAAATATGGATAGTTCGGAAATCAAGGTTCTTTCAACCGAACCGAATTTCCGAATTCCCGACCGAAAAATAGAAATACTATAATTGCAAGCTCCAAATGGTGGATTTTTATGTTTGTAGTTGTTTTTAGACTTAAATATTTGAAATGTTTTATGACTTATGTGTTGAAAAGTTTGGTTTTATCATTGATGATGCATATAATTGATATTTATTGTTTATATTAGGGGTGAAAAATAATTTAAAAGTGAGAAAATACAAGTAGCTTCACACATTCGGTTTTGTGTGAAAAACCGAACCGAACCGAATTATAGTTCGGCTTAAACCGACCGAACCGAATTATAATTCGGTTCGAATTCGGTTTGAGGTTTGGGAGAATTCGAGGACCCGGTATTCATAATTTCGGTTCGGTCGAAACCGAACCGACCGAATGCCCACCCCTAAGTCGGGTGACCGGAAGATTGGTTAAATGTTTTGATGTGCTCAAGAATGCAAACAGTTAACAAGGTTATAGGAACGACATTGTTTAATGGACGTGACTGTCAAGAACTAGTTGATTCCAATAACTCGAGTTGTTGGGAGAGGTTCAATCGTGAATCATATACCATTCACTAACACCCCCCTTCAAACTCAAGCCATTCAGATAGGCTTGGAGTTTAGACAGGCATAGGTCCGACACTGTGTGCTTTACAGAAACAACAGAAATAGATGGGGTCACCGGGAATCGAACACAAGACCTCTCGGTCACAGAAGGCTCTGATACCATGTCAAGAACCAGTTGCTCCCAATAAGAGTTATTGGGAGCAACTGGTTCTTGACATGGTATCAGAGCCTTCTGTGACCGTGACATCTTCTGTTCGATTCCCGGTGAGCCCCATTTGTTAAGCACATGGTATTCTTGTCTTCATATCTGTGCAAACTTCAAGCCCTTGTGAGTGGATTTCGTTTGAGGATGCGTGTTAGTGTTGTGGTATATGATCTACCATTGAACCTTTCCCAACAACTCGAGTTATTGGGATCAACTGGTTCTTGACGGTGACCACCTGATGATGTTCACTTCCCTGTTCCCACCCTGGTTCGGTATAGGAAGAGTCGTGCCACGAGACGTTCTAAGAACAAATTTAAGTGCACATATGGTATACTCAGGCGAATAAATGTTCCTAGTCACCTTTATACTTAAAAAGATTATAATAGTCATGACGAGTAAGATTGGGAAGTTAATCTATCAACTACCGGGATTCGCATTGATGTAAACGCTAAGTAATGCTCGTTGTTTTAAAAGGTCATGAAAGAAACGTAAAGACACCTATGATTTTTACACATTCTACAAAACAAGGGGCTCGGAGAAGTGCTTGTTTGATGTGCTTTTGTACGATATGTGCTCGAGACTGGTCCAATAGTGTTTATTTCACCATCAGTTGGATTGTATCGATTCACCCCCCAAGTCCCAACATGGTGCTTCACTGCTTCTACCTCTGTTCGACGTGTTTGCTAAACATTTTGGATGTAAATCAATCAATCATCAATTAATTAATTATTAATTATTAATATATAAAGGCCTATGTTGGAGTTACTATTCATTAGTGGCTCTCACACTCCTCCAAGTGCAAGTGGGGAAGTTCCAAGTCCTTCTTTTACCCCACTCTCCATTCTACAAACTTTAATTAATATATAAAAGCCTAGGTTGGAGTTACTATTCATTAGTGACTCTCACACTCCTCCGATTGCAAGTAGGGAAGTTCCAATTCCTTCTTTTACCCCACTCTCCATTCTACAAACTTTGTGTTTAGTTATTGTTCGCTAGGTTTTCGTCTATGACTTTTTGCACAAATCATCGCCTTTGTGTTTTGTTTTAGGTTTTCGTCTATGGCTTTTTGCACAAATCATCGTCTTTGTGTTATCATCGCTTTTGTGTTTAGTTATTGTTCGCTAGGTTTTCGTCTATGATTTTTTGCACAAATCATCGTATTTGCCCACCATTTTGCAGCTCATCTCGAAATACTATCAACGGAACCCTAAATGTTCCCCACCACCGTTTTCCAAGGCCGCTACCATGAGTTTTTTTATCGGGAACGAGTTTCATCCTCGTTAATGTTTTTTTCTTTCTTTTCTTCCTTTTTGTTTAGTAACCCAAACAAATGAGTATCCTACCTTAAACATAAATCAACGCCTTTGTCCAACATTTTGCAGCTTATCTCGAAATACTATCGACGGGATCCTAAATGTTCCCCACCATCGTTTTCCAAGGCCGCTACCATGAGTTTTTTTATCGGAAACGAGTTTCATCCTCTTTAGTGTTTTTTCCTTTCTTTTCTTCCTTTTTGTTTAGTAACCCAAACAAATGGGTATCCTACCTTAAACATAAATCATCGCCTTTGTCCAACATTTTGCAGCCAATCTCGAAATACTGTGGGCGAAATCCTAAATTGTGTTCCCCGCCAGCGTTTCCCAAGGCCGCTACCACGAGTTTTGCATCTGGACCGAGTTTCATCCTCTTTAGTGTTTTTTTTTTCTTTTTGTTGAGCATGATCACAATTGAACCCAAACACAAGGGTATCCAAACTTGAACACAAATCATCGCCTTTGCCCACCATTTTTCAACCCATGTCGAAATATTGTCGGCGGAATCCTAAGTTGTTCCCCACCATATCTACTCAATGTTGGTGAAGTTTGTATCCAGACCGAGTTTCGTTTGCTTTAGTATTTTTTTTTATTTCACTTTTTCTTTTTTGTTGAGCATGACCACAATTGAACCCAAATCCAAGAGTATCCAACCTAATTTGATCCGGTCAAAGTGACTTGAAATAGACTTTAGCATTTATAAATTCTCTTTTTTCTTCTTTTGGTTGGGTAGACAATTGAACACGAATCTAAGGTTTTGATGAGTGTTATATTGTGAGCGAGCTTTAACCACTTTTGTAGTTGGCAGGTTGGACCAAGTGTGGGATTTTTCCAGAAATAGCACCTTTTAAAAAAATTACAAAAATAGCACCCACCCGAAAATATTTACAAAATAGCACCCTTTTTTATGGACCGCACCTCCAAGGTACGTTGTATATGTAAACCACACCTGGAGGGTGCGTTTTATATATAAACCGCACCTCTAAGGTGAGGTTTATTATCCTAGGCCAAAACTGCATCTTGGCCATGCGGTTTCAGGTCTGACCTACATAAACCGCATGGCCGAGGAGCGGTTTTGGCCTAACCTAGCAAAACCGCACTTTGGAGATGCGGTTTGCTTCTCCAAAACAAAACCGCATCCCCAAGGTGCGGTTTCGCCACACAAACCGCCCCCCCCCCCCACCCCAGTGCGGTTTGTGTGTCAATTATTTTCCGACACCCGACATATAGCCATGCCAATTACATAGAAATAAAAATAAATTAAAACAACACTCAATTAATAAACTAAGATAAGAGAAATCGTTCCAAGTACATATAATTAAAATTCAACTCAAAATACATCTCAAGGAAGTCCACGAGTTTCACCGGAACTGACGATTTTCTTGCTCCTTGTACGACGGTCGACGGGAGTAACAATAGGTGGTTCCGGGGGCAAGTTTCGAATGGCCGAGGTAGTGTGACGCTAGTCGATGCTGTGTCGGCGGGGAGGCGGTGCTTCCGGGGTCGAGCGGGGGACATCTGCGCTCATACGGTGAGGAGTAGGAGGCCACTGCTGATGAGGGCGAGTCCATGGGGTGAATTCGTGGGGCGTCATCATGGAGGAATCATCATGCCAAGTACCTGATGATGTAGGGGGATCTTAGGGGTAGACCGGGCGAGAGTCGTAGCATGTTTGGCGGGGAGATGGGGGGTAGACCGGGCGGGAATCGTATGATGGTTGGCGGGGATCGTTGTATGAGATCGGGTTGGGATCATATGGGGGTTGATGGTAGCTCGGAGGGGATTGATGGTAGGTCGAGCGGGGATCGTAGTATGAGCTTGGGTGGGGATCGTTGTGGTAGGAGGGGCGGTGCTCTTGGGATGAACTCGGGCGGGGATCTTGGGCGAAACTCGGGCGGGGAGCTTGGGAGGAACTCGGGCCGGCACCATGTGTCACAACCAATGGGGGTGGCACTTTTCACGCCTGATATGGCGTTACGTCGGGCACGTTGGGCTTTTCCCGAACCCTCTTGCTCTTCTTTCTCTCGTATGGTGGTGGGGGATCGGGGACATCAACTTGTACCGGCTGTGGCGGGGGTGCGGGCATGGGCGGATATCTACGATGATCCCGACCCTGAGCTCTGATACAGCCAAGTAGACTGTTTGCCATCCTCCTGATGAAGCTCACATCTTCATTGCCCAGTTCAACTGTCCCGGCGGCCATATCTTTGATACGCTCGATCCCATCAACCTAAATAACCAAAAAAAAGTTAGAAATAAATTTAGGAACCAAGTAATAAATTTAATTGTTCAGACGAAATATACTTACCAATGCACCATCGGCCGCACCCTCCGGAGTCATGTACCGAACCGATGTTAATTTTTATATAATAATCTAATAAGATGCAACACTTTTCATAGTTTGGTTTTATTATTAAACCACACAGTACATAATATTTACGTAACACCATTCTATAACATTTATGTGAATTAATATCAGTTTGAATGAAAATTCCTTTACGAATGCTCCCAACCCAATCAATGGAGGGAATTCCCGTATAGACTGAGTATGGCACGAATTTTATGGGACAAGTGTGGTTTTAGCCTCCCCGCCCCATATTCATACGTCATACCATACTTGCCACACTAAGAGAATTTTTTCATATATAAAGACTAGAGAGATCAAATTGTAACATGTCACTGAAAAGAAGGGTAATTTAGAAAATGAGTTAAAATGTAATCGAGTGGTCACCCAAACCAAATTTTAATTTCTTTCCCTCCAATTCTCGGTTCGCTTTTTTCTCCCTTTTAACAAGATTATGTTAATCAATTATTACTTAGTACTTGTGTCAGAGTTGTATATTAATGATTTGGATAGTTTTCTAATTTTCTGCTATAGTTAGTAGTGACATGTTGAAAGATTTATGTAACAACATCTATAACAGTTACATAAATTACAGATTCACTAAAACGTTACTTTCTATACCTTGATTTTATTATTAGACCACATATCATGAAAGATTTATATATAAAAATTCTATGTCAGTTACATTAACAACATTCTATAACGATAAAATAAATTAAAAATTCATTTTTAAAATTTATAGACACTAGATAAAGTAAATTTTATAAAGTGATAGCTATTATGTAAGCAAAGATATTACAAGAGTCTTTCTTAACGATTAACACATTATGTAAAGTTTATGAACATTTTATCATTTTGTATGCATCAATTAAACAAAATATTATGTAAGTTTTCCATAATGATTAAACACTATAAATCTTATGCAGGGATAGTCATTTATTATGTATCACTGACACAAACAATGACATGGAACAAAATGAACGTTTGGACCTTTGTGGGATCCCACGACATGGAACAGGGCTCTTTCAATGGCGAACCGGAATTGAAGGTTTCTGCAGACTTTAAGGAAAGGTTGTGCGCTCCTTGGAAGAAGACCCTTGTCCTACGCCTCTTAGGAAGGTCAATGTCATACGCCCACTTGTGCTCACAGCTCCGATGGAAATGGCGGCCATTGGGCAGCTTGGATATTATGGATCTCAATAATCAGACGTTTCTGGCAACCTTCAGCAACGACCAGGATTACCTCCACACTCTAACTGGAGGACCATGGACAATCCTTGACCACTACCTCGTCGTCCACCAATGGTCTCCAAACTTCCGAACATCAGACAAGCCTTTCAAATCGGTGGTAGCCTGGGTTCAACTGCCTGAGCTCCCATTCCATTTTTACCACCGAGAAGTCCTGTTCGCACTAGGGAATCTTCTTGGACACACAATCAAAATTGATTATCATACTGAACAATTTGAACGGGGGAAATTCACTCGATTAGCTGTGGAACTTGATATGACAAAGCCGCTGGCCACTAGGATCCGGCTAGACTGGAAATGGCAACAGGTGGTCTACGAGAACTTACCCCACATTTGCTTTGAGTGCGGACGGATTGGTCACACGATCGACCAATGCGCCAAGAAGATGGATACAAATGCACGGACAATAGTGTCGTTGGGGACGTTATCGATTTCACGACGGTCGGAGGAATCATCGCAGCCACCGGCCGGCTATGGACCCTGGATGCAGGTGACGCGAAAGGCACGCAAACCAACTAGGAAAGCCTTCGGGAATCCTGCTAAGCAGACGGGAGATCAGCAAGGGAAAGGTGGAAACCCAGAGCGACTAACGCCGAAAAACTCTCACCATGGGAAAGCTGATCTTGCAACAGTTTCGAATGAAGGAAAAGGAAAGAACTTAAAGCTAGAGCAAAAGAAGGAAGGGGATGATACTCTGAATTCAAAATCAGTCGAGAGGAATGAGGAAGGGGCTAAGGGACCCATAAAACATACCGCATAATTAAAATGGCGGCCAGTTGGGCCGAAGAAGGGGGACTCCAATTCCCAAGCCCAATTTAGTGAGGCTTCCACTAGCTTAGTTGGGCTTAAAGAGAATGACTCTCCTCTACATCCTGGTACAGCTATGGCCAACCCACTCATCTCGGGCTTGGTTGCTAGCTCAGATCAACAACGAAACGCTCTGACAGAAGCAACCAAAGTTATCCCCTCCATCCGGCATTGACATCACAAACGGAGTTCCGAGAAATCTGGTACGAGAAGAAAGAAGAATGGATTCAAACTCAAAGTGGGGGTGAAGAAAACTACTCAATCCAGTCCCAAAACGAAACGTGAATTGAAACAGAGAGTGACATCTCCTTCATTTCCAATTACACACCAAGCAATTGAGGATTTCCTGGCGCAGTCACAACAAAAAAGAGATGGATTCCAGAACAAACCCAACGGACGCGAGGCTGATGAGGCGATGGAGGACAATGTGGAATCTCCCCAAGTTCCGCCGGCAACCGAAGATGCTGCGAACCCCGTCCGAAGACTTTAGCGGGATAATCCATCCTGGCTGTTCCTCCCTCTCCTCCTCAATTTATTTTTTATGTTTTCCATCTTCTGCTGGAACTGTCGTGGTGCCAAAAGCACCAAATTTCTTGCTGCTTTCAAAGATTATATGCGTTTTCACCATCCAAATGTTGTCGTCATAGTTGAACCACGAATTAGTGGCAAAGATGCGGAAGAAGTCATTCGTCGGATGGGTTTTGACAAGTTTGAGGTGGTTGACGCGGTAGGGTTCTCGGGAGGAATTTGGGTCCTCTGGAACACCTCAGATGTCACCATCTCCATTTTGGACTCCGAACCTCAATTCATTCATTTTCGTTGTATTGATTTGCAGGATAATCAGTCAGTGCTTATGACATCAGTTTATGCTAAACCAAATGACCATGACTGGGCACCTCTCTAGAAAGCGATTCATAGACTGAACCGAGGTATAACAGAACCGTGGATCCTTGCAGGAGACTTTAATTCAATCCGCAATTCTGCAGAGCGACAAGGTGGAGCCCCTTACAATCCGCATCGGGCAGCGAATTTCAACAGATGCATTGAAACGTGCGGCCTTGTTGATGTAGGTTTCTCCGGTCCAAGGTTCACTTGGACGAAGGGAACTCTGTCACAACGAATTGACCGTGCTATTTGTAATCAAGAATGGATCAAGCAGTTCCCTGAAACGTATAATACTCACCTGCCACAGCTCCGTTCTGACCACCGGCCTATATTTATCCTTAGCAGCCTCGATCGTAATTGCAGACGCCAAAACAGACATTTTCGTTTCCTCGCTTCTTGGCTGGCCCACGAGGACTTCCATACCACACTAAAAAATGCTTGGAGAGATGGCAGGGAATTCTTGCTCTCTCTGCAAGAGCTTCAGGAAAAACTTGAGGTATGGAATAGGGAAGTTTTCGGAAACATTTTCAGGAGGAAAGCCAGCCTAACCAAACGGCTAGCAACCTTGGAAATGAGAAATGAACAACATGGTAGTGCATATTCGCTAAAAGATGAAGCTAAAGTTCGTGAGGAGCTGGAGACTACTTTGTGGCAGGAGGAAGTTCTTTGGATGCAGAAAGCTCGTTCCAATTGCATCACTCACGGGGATAGCAACACTCATTTTTTTCCACATATCAGCTTTAACACGGAGGAGAAAAAACAAGATTCTCAAGCTTCAAAAAGAGGACGTCTTGTGGGTGGAAGAGGAAGACTCTTTGTGTCTTATAGCTAGGAATTTCTACATAGACCTCTATACTGCTGATACAGATGAGGAATTAGAGATCATCCCAGCCTCCTTTTCGACTCTGGAAGCAAGACAGGTTAGAGGTATGGCTTTCATTCCCACGATTGAGGATATCCGTGGGGTGATAAAGGGTATGGGCAGCCTCAAAGCGCGGGAAAAGATGGGTTTCATGTTGTCTTCTATCAGAAATGTTGGGATGCAGTTGGAGCTGATTTCTATAGTTACATAGCAGCATGCTTCAGGGACCCTCAATTGATCAAAATCCGCAATGAGACCTTGATTTCCCTGCTCCCAAAAGTGGAGGTCCCTAAAACCATTGCTCAATTCAGGCCAATCGGGTTGTGCAATGTTACCTACAAAGTGATTGCAAAAAGTCTGGCTAATAGACTGAAGGTCCTATGCCTAGACTGGTCGATGAAAATCAGACTAGCTTCGTACCGGGTCGGCATATAACAGACAACATCATCATCCTTCAGGAAGTGGTCCACTCAATGACTAAGAGAAAGGGGCAGTGTGGCAGCATGGTCCTGAAGATAGATTTGGCAAAAGCTTATGATAGGATCAGCTGGAAATTTTTGAACTCTACTCTGTGTGCTACGGGGCTGCCTAAGGAATTTATTGACCTGATAATGGCTTGCGTAACGACAACGAGATTCCAGGTACTCTGTAATGGAGGGTGCACAGAAGAGTTCCAACCATCACGCGGTCTTAGACAGGGATGCCCCCTCTCCCCTTACCTCTTTACTTTGTGCATAGAGCGTCTTAATCATTGTATTAAGGAGTCGGTGGGGCGTGGTGACTGGAAACCCATATCCCTTTCTAAGAATGGCCCTGCTCTCACTCATCTCTTTTTTGCAGATGATTTAGTTTTGTTTGCAGAAGCGGACCACAGGCAAGGGCTTGGCGGTGCTTAATTGTTTGAACATGTTCTGCAGAGCCTCTGGGGAGAAAATCAGCAAAGACAAGTCATGCATCTTCTTCTCCAAAAACACCAAAGATAGCATGAAAAACTGAATCAGTAACTTGCTAGGAATAAAGCACACCAATAGCTTGGGAAAATACCTGGGAGCCCCGGTGATTCATGGTCGAGTAACTAAGGAGACATACAAATTTATTTTAGAAAAGATTGATCAAAGTCTTTCGGGTTGGAAAACCAGGAATCTCTCGCTTGTCGGACGTGTTACTTTAGCAGTATCTGTTCTAAATGCTTTACCCAACTATGTCATGCAGACCGCAGTGATTCCATGTCATATTTGTGATACCATTGACAGGAAAGTTAGGGCCTTTGTCTGGGGTGTGGAGGATGGAAAGTCTAGGCTCACCTAGTTTCATGGGAGACCATATGCAAACCTAAGGAGGAAGGAGGCATTAGTCTCCGTTCAGCTCGAGCTTTGAATATGACATACCTCATGAAGCTAGGCTGGTCCTTTTTCAATAATGCTGATGCTTTGTGGGTTAAGGTCTTGTAGGGAAAGTATGTGCGGGATAACGGTGATGGTAGCGTTACTATGAAACATAGCAGACCTTCAAGGCTTTGGAAAGGAATTTCAGATGCTCTTCCTGTTATGAAGCAAGGCGTCATCTGGGACATTAGGGGCGGACAGAACGTCAAGTTTTGGACCGACCCTTGGCTAGCAGATGGTACTATCTTGAGCGAGCACGTGCTGGACAATGCATCTAGTATAGACTGGGATGTGTCCGTGGCTGCTATGACCTTAGAAGAAGGTGAGTGGAGATGGGAGGAAATTACTGGTTGCATCCCTCATAGGGATGGCAATGGGTCGGGTCGGGGACGGATAGTGCATATCCGTTACCCTACCCAAAGTAGTTCGGGTTTTACCCATACCCACATATAAAACGGGTAGAAAATTAAAACCATGCCCATACCCGTTCGGGTTTCGGGTATCCACGGTTATCCATGGGTAATGATTTCTCTTCATAACTCCAACTAATATGTTAACATTCACACGTATTCTCACATTACGCAAGAGGAAAAGTATGACAATAATTCACTAGAATGAAGAAAATTAATTAAAACAACACAATTTCATGAAAATATTATATTTATATGCTAAATATAAAATATGTTAGAGAAAAATAATGACTATTTCTAGACAAAATACATATGTATGTGAATAATCGGGCGGGTTCGGGTTGGATACTGAGAAACCCATGCCCACCCATTACCCGCAATATTCGGGTTTGGGTTTTACCCGTACCCACTAAATGTCCTTCGGGTTCGGGTTTTACCCTACCCGATTAGGCCGGGTTCGGGTGGATATCCACGGTTACGGATATTTTTTCCATCCCTAATCCCTCATAACCTGGTGCTTTTGATTGCAGGAACTGAGCCACCCAATACGGAATTGGGGGAAGATGTCACATCTTGGGGATTGGAGGCCGATGGGCGATTCAGATTGCGATCTGCCTACCAAGCAACAGCGGAGTGGCTGAATAACGAAGAGGGGGAGATGCCTAGTATGTCCGGGAATCCACCGTGGAAACACATCTGGAAATGGAACGGCCCAAACCGTATCCGCCATTTCCTATGGCTCGTGTTCCATGATAGGTTGATGACCAACTGCAAACAAAAAAGAAGGAAGCTTTGTATTACTGACACCTGCGACTTGTGCAAACAAGCTCCAGAATCGATTGAACACTTATTGCGTCACTGCCCTTGTACAGTCCAGGTATGGAGAAATCTAGGCATTGGGGATTCGAACTTAACTGTGGTTGTTGACTTTGCAGGATGGTTTACAACGCAGCTGACAAACCCACAGTCGGGCCTACTGTTTGGGGTAGCAGCGTGGTACGTGTGGAAGAGACAAAAAGAGTGGGTCTTCCAGAAAAAGCAACATGATGATTTGATCCTAGCATATCGGGTCTGGATTTGGACCAACACAATAATCCAGGCGCAGAAGCAGGATGATTGTCTTCTCAAAGAGCAACGGAGAAAGGAGCTGGCATACCTATCATGGAGCGCTCTGCAGACTGGATGGGTGACTATAAATATAGATGGATCAGTTAAGCAACCAGGCTCGTAAGCTGCAATGGGAGGAGTTATCCAGGATCATCTTGGCAAAGTCCTAGGCGCATTCGTATCCAACTTGGGAAGTTGCACTATCACGCGAGCAGAGATGAATGGAGCAATTCAGGGATTACAATTTGCTTGGAAGAAAGGTTACAGGAAAGTGAACCTTCATATTGACTCTTTGACTGCTTATCGTATCCTGACTACTGATGCAGAAAGTAATAGCAGGTACCATTTGTTGTATCTGCAGTTTCAAGATCTGATGCATCAACAGTGGGATGTGAAAGTCTCCCGTACGTATAGGGAATGTAATAAGGTAGCTGATTACCTAGCAAACAAAGGCCACTCTCTTAGCTTTGGCCTCTATGTCTTTGATTATTCAGATCCAGGCCTAAATTTCTGGGTTTTGTATGACACTATGGGCATTGCCCAATCTCGCTTAATTTAAGTTTCAGGTAGGGGCGCCCTTTTAGCGTCCCACTTTTTTACCCAAAAAAAAAGACATATGTTGTTCGCAATGATTAATACAATACATGAAATTTAGGTAGGTATCTTTATCGAATAATTTTGTGAATGATTTGATTTCAAATAAATCATTAGTTTCTTACCGCGACGGAGCGCTGGCCAAAAAACTAGTGTTCTTGGTAGGATGAGTTTCCATAAGCTTTTCCTAATTTGCGCCTACCTCTTGAAGGTGTGTTTCGTTGGAGGCATGGTCTCCCTAGATGGTCTGGGTAGTTTGCTCGTGATAAGAAAAAACAACATTTTTTCGTGCTTTAACCAACTTGAACCCTCATCAATGGAGAAGAAGGTCAGCTCGTCAACTACAGGAAGTAGTTGTGGCAGGAGTGAAGTAGTTTCTGGCAAAATTTCAAAGTAGTTCCCAATCTCTTTAGTTTGTACCTAGTATTGTGAAACCATACAGGGAGTCATGCATACTAGAAAAGTTAGTAGTAGAGTATTTTGTACTAAAAATGTATTTGAACCATGGCTCACCATTTCGTACTAGTAAAGGCACCTACCATTTGAGATCCAATATCCGGTATTTCCAATCCGACGGGCTGATAAGGTACGATTTTTAAAACATAGATTTGTATTTTTCCCCCCTTTCTCGGCATGTGCTTTCTTCAGCCTCAAGTTTGTCTTCCTTCGTGAATTGTTTGCCTCAACAAAGGCATTGTAGCCAATTGATGACTCGGTATTTGCACATATTTTCCCCTTTGTTTCTTGATTGTTTGAGCTTGAATTATCGTGTCTTTGGCCTATTTTATGCTAGGTTGTGTTCCTTTGTCACATTTCAGGTCCTAGCACATAAAGTGAAGCATAGGCGCAAGTTTCAAGTCAATTAGAGATCAATTGACGATTCGGGAGAAGAAACTCGGGTATGACCTGAAGAAGAATGGATTTCTACCTCAATTTATGGACAAAGAATCATGCAAGCTTGTCATGAAAAGAAAGAGGACGAGACTACGAGCGTCTGGGATCAAACGGCGACTGATTCGGAGTCCGAACGAGGGAGAAACGAAGCATTAAACAGAGGCTGAGCAAGCCACACGGGCACAACACACACGGCCGTGTGACCTGGCCATGTGGCCGTGTGGAAATCACCGAGCCTTCACACGGGCAGCTGGGAAAGCCACACGTGTGAGTCGCGAATTACTGGTTAAAACCCGATTTTCAGCAAAAGGAAAGGGGGAGAGCTGGGTTTTTGGTTCCCAAACACCCAAGGGACGAACCCTAGAGAGAGAGAGCGACTTGGGAACATTCTTGGAGCTATTTTGGAGGATTTCTTCGCCATTGGAGCTCGGGAATCAAGCTTGGAGATGGAGATTGAAGATCTAGATCAGATTTCTGCAGTCTCTCTCTTCTCTATGGAGTAACTTCCCTTCACTTAGGTTTTGAGGAACCCTAGTTCCATGTGTTAGGATCTTTCTTGTATGAAGTTTTGGATGCTATATTGGTTGATTATAATCGATTGAGGCATGATTTATTGAGTCAATTGAATCTTGATCAAATTCTCTTGATTTCTGCTTTAACCTATGATAGATAGAATCTGATTAGGTTAAGAGAGCTTCCTTGATTGATGGTGGTGAATTGGTTATACGAGAGTTAGTCAATCTACTGCTTTGTACTGGAATCCAATTCCGGTAGTGGAGTTCTGTGTTCATAGCCTCAGCTTTCTATCCCGGTGAAGGTTAGTCGCCTGCCGGGTAGTTGGACTGAGAGGGCTTGGTCAGCTTAAGAGATTCCAAGCTACTGTCGGATCTTCCGCAGTTTAATCAACAGTAGATCAACCAAAGTTAATTGCAACTTGGACCTAATTGAGGAGCTAGGGGGAATCATACCTAAGTGAGTTCACAACTTGTAATTAGTAGAGTAGTCAGTAGAGTAGTTTATAAATCAATCCTTAATCTAGTTTGCTAGATAATGAACTGAAGCTGAGTAATAGTAACTCTAGAGACCCGTGGATTCGATATTTATTACTTGTGCCACTATACTGTCGTAGCCGACCACACCTTCCCACATCCCAAACTGAGCTTTGAAGAGGCGGGCATGAGTGAGGAGATGCAAGAAGATCTCATGAAAGAAATTGCTTGGAAACTTGATCTCCAATCCGTGCTAGAAGAAGAAGAGCGAGAAAGGGTGCAGAAAGAAGCTGTGGAGGATGAAGAAAATGAAGCAGGAGGAGTTCTTGATCATTTCCCAGGGGTGATACCACATGTAGAAGAAAGGGAGGTTGAAGAAGAAATTGGCGTCCAGGCTGAGGACGGAGTTAAGGTGGAAGAGGCCTGCACCGGCCATGAGTTACATGTGATATCTCCACCAAACTTCGAGGAGCTGCTTGGCAAGGATCCATTTGCAGTGTCTCTTTGCCAGACCAAGGCCACATCGACATCGGTCCCTCTTGGTGGACGCGATGGTGGCCAATCGATGCTGTCTTATCTGGTTTGGGGCAATGAGACGAGAGAAGAGAAGAAGAGGTCTCGAGGGTGGAGACTTCATCTGCATCAAGTGCACGAGCTTCCATCACTAGTCATACCACATGCTCGTGACTTGCGACTCCACCTCATTGACGAGAACCTCAACTTCAAGGAGGTTCTAGCATGGACCGAAACTTAGGAGCCATCGTCTGGCTCACGACGTGAAAGAAGCGCTTGTTGGGAGGCAACCCAACCAGTCGGTTTGCATTTCTTTCTCTATTTCTCCTCGGTTGAGTCAGTTTTGTTATTTGATTTTAGAGTCAATAACTCAACCTTTGTGAGATTTTGTGTGGTGTTTGCGTTCTGATTACTCTCTCTTCCTGGAATGCACCGCCTGACCCGTCCATCATCATTCACCCTTGATCTGGTAACTTCGTTCTACCCTCCTTATCTTTCCTCCATTGAGGACAATGTCGTGCTTAAGTGTGGGGGGATGTTCGATTATGTATGCGGGTGAATGTTTGGCTATTTGTGTGCTTAAAGCCTAGTCCACTGTCCAAATTTTTAAATTTGAGGGCTCCATGTACGTGTTTCCTTGCAAATTGCCTGCTCAGTATGCTTTGAATCGACTTCTCTATAGTAATGTGCAACCTAGGGAGGTAGTGTAGCACTATAGAGGATGTTGAAGTATAAGATTTTTCCTATCTAGCTCTTTGATGTGCCAGTTGATTTTGTGAATTAGTGAAGCTAGGACCGTTGAATTCATGTGGTAATGGTGACTCTATGTGGATTGTGTTTTGGACTCGTGTATCGAACAGGGTGCTCATGTGGAAAATGAAAAATGCAGTTGGTCCATGTCGAAATCATTGAAATCTTAAACATGGGGTAAGCCCAACGTGTGTGGCACCAGTTCTGCTAAGCTATCCTCTGGTCTTTACCACATAGATAACATATCAGTTAAGACTCAACCTAAACACATCATCATATCGCATAACATTCAAGGCTTTGATCTTTGACATTACATATTGGGACATGTGTCACACTATAAATTTCTCATTTGAGGCAACTTTGTTAAGCCATAGATACCAACAGTTCTTTGCTTTTGTGATTTTTGTCATTTTGTTAGATAGAAAAGACTTTATTTCCCTGTGGTTCGTCTGCTACTACACAAATCTTTGAATTAATACATGTCGATATTTGGGGGGCCAAATCCAACTCCTAGAGTTTCAAGTACTATCTTACCATTGTAGATTAATTTAGTCGAATGATTGGATACATTTTTTACAAACCAAATTTGAGGCCAGGCCAAAACTGCAAGAATTATGTCTCTATGTTGAAAGATAATTTCAAACCATAGCGAGAATGATCAGAAGTGACCAAGGTAGAGAGTTTCACAGTGTTCAAGAACACCCGCCTAGGCGCGTTTAGTAGCTAGGCGAGTAGGAAACTTGGAGAGGAAGGCTGGGCAAAGTTGATGGGCGCCATAAACGTGGAATCGCGTTGAAGAACGCCTAGGCGACGAGTACTAGCTTGGATCCGCGATTCCAAGCTGTGGGCGACGCCCAGAAAAAAAAATGGTTATGATGCTGTTGTGCGTTTTGGATGGGCAGCAAAGGGGAAACCCTAATAGCAGTCGAGCAGCTGAGCAGCAGCCCTCCCACCCATCTGTTTGACTTCGACTGTTCGTCACCTCTCTCCCTTCTCTCCAACAGTCGACCGCCTTCATCCCCTCTCTCCAGCCGTCTTCTCCAGCATCGCAAGTTTGCAGCAGGGGGATTCGTCGCCAGCTGTGCCACATCCTCGCCGCCAGTCTCCAAAATCGCCAGTAGTCGTTAGTTTCACCGTCGGTCTCCAGCATCACCAATCGCGCCTCGTCCTCGCCGTCGCTCTCCAGCATCGCCAATCGTGACTCATCCTCGCCCTCGGCCTCTAGCATTGAAGGTAGTGATTCTTCTTTCTCTTTCGAGTTGATTCTCTAGCTTCTTTTCATCTTTAGGCTTTAGATGATAAAAAATGGCATTGTTGTCCTTGGCTGAAATTGGAAGCATTAGGACCTCATGGGAATGATGAGCGTTTCATTGCTGTGTGATTGGTAGTTGTCAAATTGTTGAGAGCCAAATTATGGTTCTTACTTAGTGTTTTGTTTCACTGGGTACCCTTTTATTTTGCATTTAGCCTTTGCTGCTTCCCTGGGTGCCCTTTTATTTTGGTTGCTAATCAGTTTTGCTGTCCCCTTAAAAAATTGGCTGCTGAAAATGTGTGTTTGCGATTACAGGGGCTGCTTGTTTTTTTGTTAAATGGAGCAGATAGAGGCTACTGTCACGGCTTCAACGGTTGAAAATGCGAACTCCTTGAAAAGGAAGTCTGATGATATTGGTTGGGAATATGGAAAGCTCGTCGATCCAAACAACAAGGATAGAGTCGTGTGTAACTTTTGCAAGAATGTAAACTCAGGAGGAATTAACCGTTTCAAGAAACACATTGCTCAGGTTGGTGGTGGAGTTGCCAAGTGTAGGAGTTGCCCAGATGAAGCTAAATTGGCATGCTTGAAATGGTTGGAAGGAACAGAAAAGAAGAAGCAGGATAAGGTTGTTCGTGAGCTAGGTTTGAGAAGTGATGTTAATGTCTCTTCCGGTGGACAACAGGAAGAAGACCTTACTTGTGCTGGTAGCTCTGAACCTCACAAGTTAGGTCCTATAGACAAGTGGGCACGTGCCATTGATCCTAGCTTGTCTTCGAGTGCACAATTTCAGCAACAAAAGATAAATCAAGCACTTTTTAATGAGAGGACACTTCAAGTCCATCAATATATTGCAAAATGGGTGTACACACATGGTTAGTGCATAGCTATACCCTTTACTTCTTTCTTAGATGCACAATTTGTTTTTCTAATTTACTCCTGAATTTATTTTGTAGCTGTTGCATTCAATGCCATTGAGAATGATGAGTTCAAGCAAATGGTTGAGGCTATTGGTCAATTTGGTCCTGGATTGAAGCCTCCTACACAGTATGAGCTTCGAGAGCCTTTGTTGAAAGCTGTGTATGCAAGGACTAAGAGCTTGTTAAGTGATCGAGAGACGAAGAAGGAAAAGAATGGTTGCTCTATTATGACTGATGCTTGGACAGCCATGAAGAGGAGAAGCATCATGAACATAGTCACACATTGTGCCGAGGGAACCTGCTTTATAAAGTCGAAGGACACATCAGCGATTTCTCACACAGGTGAAGTAATCTTTGAGCTAGTGGACAATGCAATCGAGGAAGTTGGAGCTGAACATGTGGTGCAAGTGGTGACAGACAATGCTTCCAACAATATGGCAGCAAAGGCCCTCTTGTTGGAGAAGAGGCCGAACATATTTTGGAGTTCTTGTGCAACCCACACCATCAATTTGATGCTCCAAGGAATCGGCAACATACCAAGGTTCAAGAAAATTGTAGATCAAGCTAAGGGGTTCACCATCTTCATATATGGCCACCACCGCACCTTGGAATGCATGAGATCCTTCACCAAAAAGAGAGAGATCATCCGACCAGGTGTGACTCGATTTGCTTCTCAATTTCTTACTCTACAAAGTTTGTTGGATAAGAAAGATTCTTTGAGGAAGATGGTGGTGGATGCGAAGTGGGAAAATATTAAGGAGACGAGTTCAAAGAAAGGCAAGGAGGCTTATGACACGGTTCTTAGTGTTAGGTTTTGGAATGGTGTGGAAATTTGCTTGAAAGTCTTTGAGCCATTGGTGAAGCTTCTTCGATTAGTGGATGGGGATGTGAAACCTTCTATGGGTTTTGTGTATGGTGAACTTTTGAAGGCAAAGAGAGAGATAAAGGAGGCGTTTCAGAATGAAGAACTTCGTTACAAAGAAGTCTATGGGTTTTGCATCTAACGGCATATCTTCTCAATCCTCACTACAGTTATGCCGACTCCTCAATATTTGACAATGCCGACATTACAACAGCATTGATCACTTGTGTTGAGCAATTCTACCATGGTTGTGATGAGGATATACATGATGAGGTGGTGAACATTTAGCTCACAAAATTTCAAAGGAAACAAGGACTCTTTGGAAAAAAAGATGGCAAAGAATTGTGTAAACTTTTACTACAATCCTGGTTAGTACTTCTTTCCACCTTTCCTTGTAACTTATGATTTAGTGTCGTTCACTAACTTAGAGTTAATTAATTTCTTAGTGGCTTGGTGGAGAATGTATGTAAGTGAGCTGGCGTTTAGGGTCAATTAATTGGGTTGGTTCGCGGGTTGGGCAACAATGGCTGACAGGGCGGGTAAGGCTGAGCTGGCGGGTCGGGTCGTCGTTTTTTAATGTTAAAATATGTTGACTGTGTCTTTCTATTAGCCACGTCATCACTTAACGAACGTCACTAACGGAGTCTAACGGAGGTTAACGGAGAGTGACCAAACTTAGACTGTTCAACTAATTCGAGTGACTATAAATGGAATAAATCAATTTGAATGGCAAACGTGAAATTTTTAAGCAATTCGAGTGACCAAACTTGCAATTAAGCCAAAATATAAATAATAAAACAGAGAGTGACATATATCGCATTTGTTTGAATAAAAATATCATATTCAACCTTATGAAGTAAATTTTCCACTCATTTTTACTAAAATTGAAAGATAAGTTACATTTTGATGAAAAAATTAAACAAACATACACATAAACAAAATATATATGAAAAGATAGAAAATAAACATTTGACATTCAATTACCTTTGAAAAATAAACTATATTACTTTATATTTTGTTACAATGAAACAACTCTTATTCGTAAAGTATATGTCTATAAAATAAAACAAGTATTATTAGCAAAATGTCAGAATATAATCTTGATCGAGTAGTTATATTTATTTATTTAAAAAATACTTCTTATTCATTTAGATTATGTTCTACCTTAAACTCCTCAAATGAAGAGGAATCGCAATAATAATATTTTATAATGTGTCCTATGTTCACACTAATAATATTTGCTATATATCATGTTGATTGAACAAGCTCTATTGAGGTCCTAAGTCATATGCTAAAAAAATTTATTTCTGATTGGAGTTATCATCGACGGTTATAAATCAAAATTTTCAAAATGACTTAAGTATGATCAGGGACGAACTTTGACTTCATACCATAGGATGAGACACATGATTCATTATCAATTATTGAAATATGTGTGTATTGGAGACACTCTTTATCAATTATTAATATATAAGTGATAAAATCTTTGAAAATTACACATTCAACGATTCATGTTAAGACCAAAATCATCGATAATGTGTGTGAGTGTCTTAGATTGAGATTCTAAGCCAACATATAAATAATGACCACAGGTTGAGGTTTACTCTAAACTTCAAGAATTAACAATTGATACATATTGTATAATATACAAAATTTAAGTGTCTTGATAAAAAAAACTAACTTCCAAAATGGAAATGAGTCAAGATTAGAGAATTTAATCATCATGAGGGCTACGGGGGGTGTCAAGTTTCAATATGGATGAATAAATTGATCCAATACTGAAGTATCTTTACTAAGAATTTCTCACTAAAAAGTCATAATCTTTACAACATTGGTTGAGAGTTCGTCCAAACTCGAGGATCATGAATATTTATTGGATTTCCAAAGGACCTAAAATCTTAATCCCTTTCGGGGGCTAAATACCTCTGATCACAACCATAGGTGCCAAAGAAGAATGAAAAGAAGCCCAAAAATAGTAAAATAGAACATAAACTCCAATGGTTGTCTGACGTTATGGGGATAAAAGCGGGATCTCTATCACAGGGGTGGGGCATAGGCAAGCAACACTCTTAATATGAGTATTAGGCAAGATAAGATAGGTCTGACAGAGTATCTGGATAATTTTGAGTCTACTATATACACACACACAAATATACATACATATATAATATCAAGGTATACTATACTTTTGATTTTACTCAAGATACGATAGAAGATAGGTATGACGAAGTATGTGCATAAATTAGAGGTTAGTGAATTAGGGATTGGAGTTCACCAGGTTAGGGTATAGTATCATGCCCCAAAAAACTCCGGTTAATTCGGGGTGTAAATAGTAAATCTCAATGGTCGTATGGTAGTGTGAACGCAAGAGTATAGCGTACTCCTGGCGCACGCTAGCTTGAACTATATAGATGTGTGTGTGTGGGGTTCATGTTGGCGTACACTAAATATTAGTGTTTTGGTTGACAAATTTTGACATAAGTTCTAAATGGGATGTGACAGCGACATAATTTATGATTAGAAAACCAAAGCATCACAAGTGAGTGTGCTAAATATTGGAAATTTTCAATATAGACATACTACAAACTTTTTTATGAATCAAGAACACAAAATAATTAGAAGATCCAAAATGATTTAAACATATAAATAAGTTAATTAATATAAATTATAAAATAAATCTCTCCGGCCAACATGTCGGGGAAAAAGCTAGTTCTATTAATAGATATTAGTCTATCTTCAATTGGAGTTAAGCTACTTACTAATAAATATTCATACTAGTGTTAGTATTTCAATTAGTAAGCATTAGAGGATTGGTTAGTACTTGGTAGGAAATAGGGGTTAGTAGAGGGGAACGGATCAGGTCAGTAACTTTATGGTCAGTAACCATGAGTAGGGATGGCAATGAGTCGGGTTGAGTCGGGTTTTGCCAAACCCAAACCCAAACCCATGGGTTTATTCGTGAAAAAACCCCGGGGTAAAGCCCAATGGGTTTGAAAAACTCAAACCCAACCCAACCCGCTGGGTATCCGCGGGTTCATGGGTACCCACTGGTTTTTGTCGTAAAAAATTCACAATAACAAGTTCCTATCAAAATTAAAGTCAAATATCAATCTCTCAATACAAATTATCCATATATAAAACACCATTCTAGAATATTCAAGCAAATCACAAATTAACTATACAAATTGTTCAACACCAATCTAGAAAACTCAAGAAAATTGAAGCAAATCACAAATTATCCATAAATAACATGATTAATTGAAAGCTTGTTCCTTTCAATTAAGTTTTTCACTCTCCACTCAATAACATAAACTTCATTCTACATAACTAGAAAGAAAAACATATACATGTCTCCACATACATAAATAAGATTAGTTGTTTAGAATATTAAATATGCCGAGAAAATTAATTATATGGGTGTGGGCGGATACCCATGGGTCAGGTTTACCCAAACCCAACCCAACCTAGTGAATAGTGAACGGATTTAAACCCAAACCCAGCCCAAAACCCGTCAACACGAATTTTACCCGCGTTGACCAGGTTGGGTCGGGTGGGTACCCGTGGGTTCGGGTTTTGTTGCCATCCCTAACCATGAGTAACTTGTCCACATCAGCATGATATCAATATCCTCTCTCTCCTGAAAAGTCTTTTATCTATTCCCCTTTAATTTTTAACGGACGATTTCTCTCTCGTTTTAAGTCGAAATTTAATTTATTTGCACAGATAAATCAGATTAAATGTGTTCTTTAAAATGATATCCACCTTGATATATTTTTAGTAAAAAAAATTCGAATAATTTTTTCAGTCATTACCATATGTTATGCTCCTATTTAATACCATATGGTAAGAAAGCATACCATGATGGTATGAACATACCAATATGGTAAGAAGGTTGAATACATGATAATAGGAGTATACTAATTGTCATTTACGACTTTTAGGGTTAATTGCATGGTTGGTCACTGAGTTTACAAAAAACGTTCATGTGTGGTCACTCCAAATATTTAAATCCATTAGTGGTCACTCGAATTAGTTAAATGGTTCAAGATTAGTCACTCCCCGTTAGTCTCCGTCAGTTTCCGTTAACACCGTCAGTCAATAGCTGACGTGGCTAACAGAAGTGATGACTCACCCAATTTTAACCCGCCACATCACCAAACCCGACGCGCCACATCATCTCTCCAACCCAACCCTTCGCAATCTTGACCCAATCCTCCGCCTCCAAAACCACCGCCGTCGCCAGACAATCGCTCACTGCCTCCAAAAATTACATCCTCCCTCATCCATCGCCATTCTCATCTCCTTGCCGCAGATAACCCCTGCCAATCATTAATTCCAATCCCCTCCAGCCAAAATCGAACCCAAAAAATCCCTCCATCCCCCAATTCCTTGTTCCCTCCCACAACCAAATAGTTCTTCCCACAAACAACTCCTCCTCCTCGTTCACTTCTGATCCTCTGTCATCCTAGTCGTTAATGCACGACTCGATCTCAACCACTCCAACCTCCGCGCCATCTCCGTCATTGGCCGAGACTTGGGAGTCAACGCTCAACAATGCAACACCTCTGTCTCCCCTGCAACCTCCACGACCTCTTCTGCGAGCGTCGCATCTCTCCTGCCGCCAACGACCACTCCTATGAGCTTTGAATCACCAGGCTGGTCTTCAAATCCCAGTCACTCTCCGACAATTGGTCGGCTGACGGAGCTCAAGGAGGTCTCCCTCCCCAACAACCGCCTCGTTGACAAAATCCGTACAAGCTCGCGATGCTCAACCTCGCCAACAATCGATTCGCGGGCAAAGTTCAGGTCCCCCGGCGTTCCGTTCCTCCTCCGACTGCGCGTTCTGAATCTCGCCTCCAACAAATTGTCTGGGGATCAGAATTTCTTGAAGCATTTCCCCAATCTGGAAACACTCTCCCTCTCCAACAATTTCTTCGCCGGCCAGGTCCCCAAATCGATTCGCTCCTTCCACAACCTCCAATTCCTCGACCTCTCCGGGAACATGTTCCTCAATGTGGCGGGTCGGGTTTGGTGATGTGGAGGGTTAAAATTGGATTAGATAACACTTCTGTTAGCCACGTCAGCAATTGACTGACGGTGTTAACGAAAATTGACGGAGACTAACGGAGAGTGACTAAACGTGGATCGTTTTACTAGTTCGAGTGACCGCTAATGGATTTAAACATTTGGAGTGACCAAACATGAACGTTTTTTGTAAACTCAGTGACCAACCATACAATTAACCCATGACTTTTATCATTGTTTACTATAAGTTACCACCCACATACCATAGTGGTAAAGTATGGTAATTTTTTATTCAGTATTTTTTTACCCAGAAATTTATAGATCCAATAGATCATGATGAACTCGTTC